GAAATGAAAAACACTTTTTTGTTAAATATATTCATTTTAAAAAAAACTGGTTACATTTTTCCTTATATTTTTGCATGTTTGTATACTTTCTGAATTTGGTCATATGGGATGTAAATCTGCATAAAACTTGTTCCAGAGTCATCCACTTTAACTTCTATAATAATATATTTTAATTAGCTTATAAAATGATGAGACTTCTGAAGTCTCCCAAGACTCCTGACCTAATATATTTAACTGTGTGATATTGATGCTTGGAAAACTTCTTTGGTGCTAAAAATAATCATTTTTATACTTGTAAGGCTACTGAATTTTACTGCCTAAGCATAATTAAGATAATACAGCATATATTTTAGCATGTTAGATCTTTACTGAGATGTTATGCTATTAACAAGTCAAATATGGTGTTTTTATGGATGCTGGCTCTCATTTGTAGCTACTTAATCACTACTTAATGGTCTATAGACCCTTAAAGACTGTTGATCAGCTTAGAGAAAGACTGTTTATCTAAATTAAATAAAAAAATCTGAAATTTGACAAGTTGGAAGTTTAGCATTCTGTAGCAAGTTTGAAACTAAAATAATTCCCTTTCTTAGAACAGGAAAAGTGTCAAAACCAGTATCTTAACAGGGTGAAATCCTATAAAATTACAGCTCCTGATGTAGCTTTACAGAATGCTAAAAACATGTTTTTGCACCTTGTATTGTAATGCTTAAAAGGAATTGTGCAGGAGCTGGATAACAGATAATGTCCTGATGAAAGCCTATGATCCAGATAAATTATCTACAAATACAGGAAACTGTAGTGCATGGGGGTGCTATTTAAACTGGAGAATTTTCAATTTATGCCTGCTCTCAGAGCCACTTTTCACAGCATTTGTTGCTCCCAGAGCCTTGCTGGGTTCTGTGAGGTTGGTGGCTCAGCAGCCTCTCCTGGCAGCAGAGCCTGCAGCACCATGGAGCAAGGAGCCAGGAGATGGCAGGTGATGCCCTTGCCTTTCATGTTGCATCCTTTCCTGCCTGGGCCATGCAACCATCTGCAGGTCAGGAAATATCCCTATCAGCATTTGAATAGGGAGATTTTTAACTTATCCTACTATGAAGGAGATATTTAGGGACGAAAAAAAGTAGTGCCTTGCAAATGGGCCATTATTCTGCTAGTGAGAACTGATTTCAGTGAGTACTGATTTGTAACAAAGCTAGTAGCTGTATGTAGTTATATTTGTGAAGTGAAAACCCTGTGCCCAAAACCAGATTACTTAAGAGCTATTTAAGAAGTGACAGGTGAAAAAAAGCTCCTCTGATATAGGAATCGTTAAAGAATAAAATACTGAAGTATATTTAATCCTTTGAACTTTCAGTTGAGAATGTTTCTCAGAACTAAATCTTGTCCTTAATATCCAGTCATGGAATTTTACCTCCATTGTAACTTTTCCTTAAGATACCAAGGGGAAAAATATACATGAAATAACTACAGTAGAAAATAGTTACTTGATTAATCTTTATTTTCTTGGTGATCTTAAGCAGTCAAGCAAGTTGAGGGCTTAGAATTATTAGGAAAGTGAGATGTTTAACTCTTGGGGGAGAATACTTTGTCACAAATTGAGGGGACTCAATTTGATGACTCTGGAAAGAATAGCATTTCTACTGAATGTTTAAAGCATGTGCTTAAGTCTAAAATAGAGCTCAAGCAAAAAAAGTTAAATGAGATTTGAAAAGATATAGGCATATTTAGTAAAAGGGCAGTTCTATATAAGTTACTGATACATGTGAATCTGAGCCCCAAACTGATTCTTCTTGGTTGATATATATGTGCTTTTATATATACACATATACCTGTATTCTATTAAATTATGAATTAACCTCCCAGGTAGAATAGTGCATGAAGGTCTGCACAATGGGAAAGCACTAAGTTTAAACCAATTTATAAATCTGGGAAAAAGCCTAAATGCCCACAAAATAGTTGGTTTGCCCTAAACAAAAGCAGTTACTGTACTAGTAAAGTACTAGTTCAAAGAAAATTGAAATGGGGTGAAAAGGTTAAGATGGAACAGCAAGCAAATGCACTCATACCTGTGGAGGCAACAGATGCCAATCACTAGTAATCTGAGCTGTACCTTTTTTAAACTTCAGGTCTTTGAAGTCTTTTTTCTTCCCATTTTTATTGTCAATCTGTAGAAGCTGAAGTACAAAACTGAGAGAAAACAAACAAAAAGACTTGATACAAGACAACCATGATGAAATGCTTCTACCTAAATAAAGGCATGTAAGGAATACATACACTCACACAAAGAAAAACTTTGTGGAGAATGACAGCAACTCTGAACATCTGACTACTTGGCAGTCAGTAGCATACAAAGTTCTCTCGGCGCCATGTGTAAACTCAGCTTGGATGAGCTAAAATTAAGCAGAGTTGCAAAGAAAGCTGCAAGCTTCCTAAACTTTAGTAATGGGTAATAGTTTAATCACTAGCCACTCTTAATCATTTTTTCAAGACAAAGCCTAGATTCTCTAGCTCTAGAGGGAACCGAGAGTGTTTTACACTTCACTAGCCTAGCAAAGTGGGTGGGCTGATTTATCATGGATATATTTATGGCTGTGGTTAACAAAGCCAAACATATGCAAATAGAAGATGCTCAGGATTTTAAAGGTATTTCCCTGTTTTGTCACATAGATCAAATATTCCCTTTGGATAAATACTCAGCTTTTCTACTGCTATTGACATCTGAGTGATATCTGATGGACTCTAACACTGATGCAACTGGTTTTCCCCTGAGGATGCTCACTTATTAAAGAATTACTTAACAGAGGGTGAGTGGGTAGTCAGGCTAAATTCACAGGCATGAAGAAATTACTTTAAAAAGTTATTCTTTTCCTTGTTACACACATTGTCTACATTCTGTCTCCTTTCATCTGTTTGAAGAAATATTAAAATTAACTTAGTGACTTAATCTGATGTAAATATGTAAAGTGGCTTTGAAAATAGATGCCTTGGGAGGTTATTTATATATTTACTTCTGTCTTGGTTGCCAGTGTGAAACTAAAGTTAAGATTTAACTGGACAATAATTAATTTTTGGTCATAAGGCCATAAGGAATATTAAAATAAAACTATATGCAAGGCCTGTATGCATATCGATTGCTTTGCTGCTTTGTGCAGTTTAAGTTTGGAGGGCTTTTAGAGTTCATTAGGGTAACTTGCACTCACTTTCTTCCTATATCATTTCATATTTACTGCTAATTCCTCTCTCCTGTTTTTAGCTTGTTATATTCTCTTGATGTTTAGAATATCCTTTTTCCCCCTTTTTTCTTTATATCTGGCACGCTTTTCACAATGAGCCTCATCTCACTGTGCAGAATTTCTTTAGTTTCTAAGTATTGGTGGACTCCTAGCATGAGAAGTGACACTTGAGAGGCTGAGGCTGTTACTAGTTGCTTTTGACACCTGTCGTGTAGCCAGGGGAGGTTCCCCTTTATGTTGGAACCTTTTGCATTGCTAGGGATTGTCTGTTACTTCTGACAGACAAAACAATAGAAATGAAAATAGAATAGAAATTCAACACCACAAGGATTAAAAAAAAATCAAAGGAATTGAATACCACTGACACTAATAAATACTTGCTCAATATCAGTGGTGGTTGTAATGCCTAGATCTCATTCACAGTTACTTGGAAAGAAAGACGAGCTTTGTTGCACGCAGGAGAGAACTGGTGTCTTGTACAACAGTAATGTGTAGTGATCTGAGAGGCAATATATATAGGCAGAGTGACTAAGGTGAAAACTGTTGGCTTCATCAAAATTATCCAAAAAAAGAAAGGTACTTTGAAATCTGCTTTAGAATACTTCCAGCTGATATGATAGAACATCAAGTGCTTCAAATAATTTACAACAATAATGAACTGTATGGCATGTTGATTAGGTTTAATGTATATTTAAGTAGTGGAGGTTTTGAAGGCAAATGTTTTTTACTACCTTTATGTATACTTGTAGAGTTAAAAGTTTCAATAGAATACTTAGTGATATTATAATAGCATTGAAACCTATTGAATATGGTACTGTATGCCTATTATGGAGCTTTAGATTACATATAATTTGCTAATACACAAATTAGTATGGGAGCTTAAGGGGTTTGGTTATTTGGAATTGTTCCTTAAAATAATATCTCTGTACCAGTCATTGACATTGCTTCTGCTATTCTGAAACTGAGCATGAAAGATTGCTGATCTGCTGTGAAGTTTTATGGATTTTAATAATGGGTTGACTTTTATACAAATACAATTTTTCTTCAGTAGCTTTGATTGCTTAGAGGAACAAACATAAGAATTTAACTAGAAAATTGACTTGCTTTTACAAAGATGGGCAGTGACAATATGCTTTCTTGAGTGGTTTCCATGAACTGGTTCCTATGAACCTCTGATGCATTACCAGCTTGCGGTGGCTGCACAAAAAGGTCATGTAAATGGCAGACTAACAGATTGTTCTGCAGGTTCCTCATGCTGAGCACTAGAATCCCTACGTCAAGAAAAAACAAACAGATGGGCAAAAGCTATGGAACTTAAATATGAATGGGGAAGAAAACAGCCAGTAGAGATGGTGACAGGATTAAGCAATAGATGCTGGTGCGTTTTATCTGTTGCCCTTAAAATAGCACCAGGCTCTCTAAGGAAATTACATTAAAGTGGAAGAGGAACCAGCAATGCAGATATAGTTTGTTACAAGAAGTAAGGAAATGAACAGGACTTTGAGCTGTCAGGACTGAGTGATAAAGAAAGGGCTAATTTCCTTAATAGTGATAAAAATCAGTGGAGAAATGCAGCAGAACTGGTGTTCTCTTGGAAATGCATTTTGGATGACATGATCAGTATTGATACAAAGGTAACAGTGGTGTTCCCTGAGAAAGGGGTTACAAATATTAAGCAAAGAGAGGGAACTAAATTGAAGAAAAGGAACTTAAGTTGTCTTTATAGTTAATGCATTTCACAAATTTAAAGCTGAGGAGCAGAGGAAGCAATGATGCTTGTTGGCAACAAGTGAGGCTGAAGGTAATCTTACATTTTTACTTAAATACCAAAAGCAGTGTTTCCTTTTTTTTGGAGAACTGCATTCTTTAACAATAAACATAATTTTGAGCACACAAAATCAAATACTGTGTTGCTTGTTTGTCTGCTTCAGCAGTAGTCTGAGAGGTTTGGCTTGTGCAAAGGAAGGTTTTCTAGATATTGAGCATTTAGACATCAAATGTTGCAGAGGAACCTGCAGATGTGGACATGGCCTAATATGTTGTGGACACTCTACCTGGTGTGATGCTTGGGCCAAGGCTGCAAGGAACTCAGCACTGCTTTTTTGTGTGTGTTTTTGAGGGGCAGGGATTGTATTTTGTTTTTCTGTAATGGTTATTTTTCCTTTCTTCCTAAAAGGAAGCTGGAATTGGTCTGTGTGGAATTCTTCCCAGGCATCAAGAAATTCAATGTGTTCCTCATGTTTCTAGAGACCTTTGTTGCTTAGGATTCATGTTGTCTATCATCTGTGACCTGCTGCCCTCCTGGCTGCTCATTTGACTGGTTGCTGATTTAAGGTGTACCAGCATTACTGTGCCTTGATATTTAGGCTGGGAATTCCTTAGCAGGTCCTATCTCTGAGTTAATGTTTACATGATACTTTCTTGAAGCTGCCACTCCTTTCTTAAGCATTTGGGGTGATATGTCAGCTTCTCAATACATTTCTCATGACCATACCCCTCTGTAAACATAGTTGCAGATAACTTCAGTATTTCTGTTGAGGTTGGTGATAAGTCTTTTTTCTATATAAAGGCTATTTCAGCAGTTTTTATTCCAGTTTCTGTAGAAATAAACTACTCAACTTCTAATTTTTGTAAATTTAGTCACAGACTTCCTGTTTCTTTTTTCCAACAGAAAGTGGGCATGGCTTGGCTATGGGTTCCAGTGCTATTGCTGTTATTCCTCTTGTCTTCTGCTTGCTGAAAATCTAGCTATGCTAGATCTAGAGCTCAAGCTCTAGAGCTCCTGGAGCTCATTCGTGCTCCTGTTCAATGTCCCAAAGTCAAGACATGTTGCAACATTCTTGAAACATAAAACTTCAGAAGTTTGTTTTATACTTATGTATTTAGACATGTATATACATGTATGCACACATGCAACTTGTGAAACTTAGCATCAAGATGATTGAGAATAGTACTTTGCTGAACAGGTTATTCAGTTAGATAGCATCTGGATATTTAAGAGGTACTTTGTGCTTTGAAAGCACAGGATGTTGTTTTTATATCCTGGGGGAGAAGACTGGCACTTTTGTGCTTTGCTATTCTTACCCCTGCTTGAAGATGTGTGCAAATTGCATCCAGAGCTCTCTGGTTTCCTCTTTTTTTTATTTCTGTGCTTTCAAGCTTCCTCCTCACTGTCTAGGCCCTTTTTTGGACAAACTCTTGCCTGTCTTTTGGGTTGTTTGGGTTTTTCTTTCTTGTTTTCTTAATGGAAATGACTGTGAAAAAGAATCAGCTGTTGCTTGTTTGTAGCTTTTGAGTTGTGCTCAGATATTTGCCTGAAGGCAGGAGGACCAGAAGACAACAGAAATCCTCTGCAAAATTTGGTTCTGTCCTGCTGTTGAAGAGGAAGTCTGAACTGTCACATGAGGCTCCAAAGTCCTCCCCCTTCTCTGTAATGAAAAGAGTAAAGGGAAAGGTTTGTTTTGCCATTGCCTCTCATGCATAAACAGAGCAACTGCAAAAATAAGTACATTATAGTTTTTTGCTCTATAACTTTGGAAGCAATATATATTAGTCTATCACTTAAAGTAGATCATCTTTGCCTCAGAAACCTGTTAATTGCATCTCTAGGAAGGGCATAGTATCTCTTTTAACAGCAGTTAATCATACCTCATATCACAGTTCACTGCCAACTTTCTGCCTTGGGCCTTTATGCTCCAGGAGGCAACTTCCTCTTGTGGGACAGTGTCATTGTGTGTCTTATCCCTGACTCATGTTGGACCTTCTTCCCAATACGGTTTCATCTGAATATGATGCTGAACTTCCCTAAGTAGAAAATTAGCACTGAGCAGCAAACTCAAGTTTTTACAGTAAAGCAGGATTACTGCATGCTTGTCTGTTCCACACACCTTTGGTTGACTATAGGTCAATTTGTATATTCACTAATGCTATATGTGGTGTGGAGTTATCTGTTGGTCTCTGGGCAGGAAACCTGTAGACATTTTCTACTGAAGTGTTCTCACTTGGTAAGCTTGTATTTCCCAGCTATTTGGTAAGCGCTACTGTAAGCTGAATTGACTGAGCTTTGAGTCTATAGAACCAGTAAGTCTAAGCACAGTGGTCTGAATCAGTCCCAGAGTAACTATTTTAAATTACTGTTTAGTTAGGCTTAATCCATTTAACATATGGTGTATAGATCTTATATAATATACTGCTTTATTTGTTGTGATGGCACTCTTCTGGGAAGTACTCATTGAAGTATGTGGTTCATATGTTTTATTTTGAAAAATGAGATGAAAACTTTTCCTAAATTTGTCATTCTACACATCTATTTGGAGGGTTTAAGCTATGTGTTGAGCTCCTGTATCAGTTTCTTCCCTTCACAATGATTGTCATAGCTACTTGTGTTATGACAATAAGCAATGCCCATGCTCTGGTTTGCTGAGGGTCAATCTTTCAGAATAAAGTGGCAAATACCATCTATTGGCCACCTTCAGCTTTGTCTCCTGAAATCTCTTAAGTTTTAGACAGGAGGCTGCTGATACTTGTAAAAATGAATATTTTTACAGGCCTCTATTTTGATGTAGATTATTCTTTTCCTTTTCCCAGGAAGATGTTAATACAGAGTATCATTTTATCAGACTACAATGATGTGGACGATGATTTTATTTGTAAATAAAGAGCAGTTGCTGCTTTTGTAATGAAAGCACCAGATGAGGGGTTTAAAGAAATGTGGAGAGAATTGAAGGAGGATCTAGAGATACTGCAGTAAGTAGAAAAACAGCTGTGAAAGACTTGTGCTTCTCAAGAGCTGCAGCAAGGGTAGGGGAGAACCCATCCTGGTAGGCTGGTAGATACAGGAGGTGACTTGTCAGCAATTATTGCAAATAACACAGGCACAGATGGGAGCTTGACCTCCTATCTGGAAGGGATGAGTTATCTCTGCCCAGGCTAGTTTGTCTTTCCATGCAGTCTGTTTAGTGTTAGGTGACTTTGAAGGCTGATGAATTGCTTTGTGCAGCTGAAATGCCATTTCCTTGTGAGCCAGCAATGTGGTTCTGCTGGAGCTGCTATGATGCCAAGGAGTTTGCCCAGGGCTGTCAATCCCACCACTGCAGGACCGTCCAGATGGACGGTGGGGAGTCCCAGCACTGATAATGCTGCTCTGAGGTAATTTCTACTTGAAGGGAAAGCCCTAGGTCTGCTTGCAAGTTAGCTCAGTAGCAAGTCATGTAGTGAAAACTAACCCCTCCCACAGCCCTGGACCATTAAAGCTCCCGGTTTCATGTGCACCTCTCGCTGAGAGGCGGCTCGGAGCCGGCAGACGCTGAGCGAGGAGGAGGGAGAGGCGAGCGGCGAGCGCCGGCACCCATGGATGAGCCCAAGGGTGAGGCGAGCGGCGGCTCCGCTTTGGTCGCCGGCCTTTGCCCTCGCGAGGAGGAGGGTGGCGTGGGGGGCGGTCAGGCCGGCATCGCTGCGGGCGGGCTCGGGGTGCGCGCTGCGCTCCGCGGGGC